GGCAGCAGTCCATGACCCGGAGCTTTGGGGAAGTTGGGTGATTCAACAAGTAAGAAAAAAAAGACAGAAAGGAAATCGGTGAAGAAATTCAGCCCTGAAATCAGCCGCGGAGCGATCTGAAGATGCAGTCCAGCCAAGGCAACAGAAATACTGAAATACTTCCCTCGTCATCATTAAATAAACAGGAAGTGTCTGAGTGATTCTGGTAAAGACTTTTTCCATCCTGAGACTAGTTTGTTTATTTGACAAAGTTCAGCTGTTCATGGGTTAGTCCTGTTCCCCTGTTTTCTTTTATCTGAAAGGCATTAACCTGAACGTTGCTCGATATTCAAAAATTTATAACCAATAGTTATCATCATCATTATCAGCACACGTGGCCTCCTCTTTATCCTGAGGAGCCACATTTCTGTGTATGCCTGGGGCATAGCAGAGCTTATTTTTAAGGTCTATTCATCATCAGGATGCAGGGTTGTTTAATCAGCTGATGATGACATCACTCTGGCGTGATAGACCCGAAGCAGTCAGATGACTCGGTGAATAACTCTCAGTCTGATTCTCTCATCAGTTTTAGACATTCAGACTCTAAACGTGTGGACGGAAAGGAAGAACTCCCTTTTAACAGGAAGAAACCCCCAACAGAACTACAGTATGTGAAGGGAGGGGCAGCGATCTGCTGTGACAGGCTGGAGAATAGGGCTGTGTTTTGATTATCGATTTATCGATTAAAATCGATTCTGGCTTGGATAACGTGATATCGATTCATTCAAATCCTGAATCGATTTTTTAATATAAATTTATTTTGCCTGAAACGCCAGAATCTCAGGTTAAACCTCACAAAATTTCAACAACCACCAAACAGCTGAAACAGTAAATGAGAGCAGGAACACGGCTTCTGCACAGAGACGTAAACACAAAGCGCGGAGCCGCCGACGCATCAGGATCATCAGGATCAGTGAGATGTGATTTTCTCACCCGATGGCACGGACACGGTCGGGGCTGAAAGCCGACAGCTCGCTGATTCTGATGTTTCGGCGGGTCCACGCTTTGTGTTTACATCCTTTTTGCACTGATTCTGAAGCTGCAGGTTTGATCTCTCTCCAAACAATATTGACCGAACCAGCAGCAAAAGAAGATCCAAACTACGCTTCACATAAACATCGTCATGAATTCACTCTGACTTTTACTGTTTTGCTTCCACCAGGATAAAATCACACTCATGCACAGCTCTCTCTCTCTCTCTCTCTCTCTGTACTTCAACAACAGTTTCCCGTCTAAAAATCTGTTTTCTGCATTAATCGCTTGCTTGTTACGCACAAGTCTACCGTAGTTTACAGGCTGTCGGCCGCTGTTTGTTTCCTTTTACTTACTTCTGACAAGAAAGCCTCATTTCTGCCGTTCAATACTGAACAAATTTAAACTTTTTAAAATTATGCAAAATTGCGAAACGCTGTGTCTCTAATCAAACCTCTGTAACTTTGCTCTGCTTCACGTCAGCAGCATCAGCTAATGTTCATAAGTTGATTAATGGTTTTCTTTCATTTTTGATCTACTGCAGAATATTTTTATAAAATCCAGGCCAGGAAAATCACCTTCATGTTTTTCTGTGTTTTATCCGCAGCTAGCCTCACTGTGATGCACCTTTGATAAAGTCTCACAAGTGTCAGCTTCCTTTTTATAGATATAAAAATATGGAAATGTACTGATGCATGATCTGAATTATAATATTTCTGACTGTCTGAGGCAAAATTTCCCCGATTCAAATCGATTCGGGACCTTGTGAGTCTGAATCGAATCGATTCTAGAAATCAGTGATGATTCTCAGCCCTACTGGAGAAAGTGAAGAGGGAGGAGAAGAAAACTGAAACTATGAGAGAGCGAGAGCAAAGATTGTGCTCTGCTGCCATGATACGATGGTTATTCAAGGCTTTGTATGTGAATAGAAAGATGTTAAAATGGCCGAGTTTATTTAATGCTGTCCGAGTCAGTGTGATTAGAAATCCTGTTTCTAAGGTTTATAAGTCAAATATAATAACATCAGTTTGTCTGAACTTAGAGGAAGAATATTAGGTTCATCCAGCCTTTATGTTTAAAAACATTCACTGTATTGCAATAAGCTTTTGGACATCTGCATTCAGATGTATAATAACTTGTAACTCCCACTATTAATCCATAGTTTAATATCCATAATTTAATGTCAGCCCACCCTTTGCAGCTATAACTGGAAGGCTTTCCCAGGGTTTAGGAGCGTTTATGGGAATCGTTGACCGTTCTTACAGGAGCACATTTGGGAGGTCACACTGATGTTGGACGAGAAGGCCTGACAATCTCCAATTAATCCCAAGGTGGGATGAAAAGGTGTTCTGTCGGTTTGAGGTCAAGACTCTGTTCAGGCCGGTCAAGTTCTTCTACACCAGGGGTGCCCAATCCCGGTCCTCGAGAGCTACCGTCCTACAGCTTTTAGATGCATCCTTGTTCCCACACACCCGAATCAAATGAATGGCTTGTTATCAGGCCTTTGCCAAACACGATGGCATGCTGAAGAGGTAATCAAACCATTTGATTCAGCTGTGTTGAAGCAGAGATGCATCTAAAAGCTGCAAGATAGTAGCTCTCGAGGACTGGGATTGGGCAGCCCTGTTCTACACCAAACTGGCTCATTCACGTCTTTTTGAACCTACCTTGTGTGCAATTGTGTTGGAACAGGAAGGGGACATCTCCAAACTGTTCCCACAAAGTTGGGAACATGAAACAGTCTTGGTATGCTGAATTATTAACAGGGTATTAATCCCATAAATGTTTTCTAGGTCGGACCGAGGGGGGGAACATTTGCTGTCGTGCGGTCCACGTATGTGACTGCTGAATGTTGGCTGGTTGATAGGTGGGCAGGAATAGAACAGGGAGCGATAGCAGAGTTCAGCAGGGAGAAGCGGGAAAAAACTGCAAAATAAAAAAATAAAGAGAGTGGCTGCAGTGACACTTTTCATTATTTTTAATGCCCGGTGTGTTAGAACTTCACTCTCCTTGGCAGCTGGCTTACGGACCAACAACAACATGAGCAAGAGGGGCCCACAGACCGGTTGCAGCACATACTTTGTACACCGCCTCCATCTGACAGCAGAGCTCACTGCAGGCGACGGGCAGGAGTGGAGCCCACAGCAGAGGCGCTCGCTCCGCTCGACCATAAATTCTGAATTAGGAGTTCCCTTCTCTGGAACTAACTCCTGAGAAACAACCCATAACCCCACTCCACCAAAACACTCGGCACAATGAGGATAGACAAGTACCGTTGTCCTGGCAACCGCCAGATTCAGACACGTGCACCACCAGATGGAGAAGTGTGATTGGTCACAGATCTCCGCTGCGCTAGAGTCCAGTGGCGGCATGTTTACACCACTGCATCCCACATTTACAATGTGCTTGGTGATGTAAGGCTTGGATGTAGCTGGTCGCCATGGAAACCCATCCCATGAAGTTCTCTACGCGCTGTTCTTGAGCTAATCTGAAGGCCACGTGAAGTTTGGATGCAGAAAGTCTGCGACCTCTGTGCACTATGCTCCTCAGCATCCGCTGACCCCACACCGTGATTTTACGTGGCCTAGCACTTCATGGCGGGGTTATTGTTACTCCCAATCGCTTCCACTTTGATATAATCCCACTCACAGCGGAACGTGAAAGGTTTAGTAGTGAGGAAATATTTGGACTTGTTGCACAGGTGGCAAACTGTCACGGTTTGTAGAAGCCGTGTGCATGCTGAGGTGCTTGATTTTATACACCTGTGGAAGTGACTGGAACACCCGAATTCAATGGTTTGGATGGGTGAGTGAATACTTCTCACAATATCGTGTATTTGTGATTTAACTAACTTTAACTTCTTATATAAAGCGCCTCGAGGTGAGTTGGTGCTATAAAAATAGTCGAATGTGACAGGTTATTATCTCCATAGCAATGAAAAAAAAATGTGTTTGCTAATAATTTTACCAAAGAGAAGCATGTATGATGTAAACAGTGTCCGCCGCTGTGACATGTTAAACTCAGCGAAGACAGAAAACAGGACTCTGTTCTCCAGAAAATAGTCATAGCCGAACCCCACCCCAAAATCACCTCATTCATAACTGCTGTGCGTAACATGATGTCAGTCAGGAGGTGCGTTTCTTTTCTTCACCTCTGTGGTTGCAATACCAACGTCTGTGTGTGAAGAAGACTCCTCGTTTCCACGGATACGTCCACTGGCAGCTGATGGACGTGGTAAACGTGCCTGCTGATAGTTTCACTGTTTTTAGTCATCAGCTGAACTCTTCTGATTAACTCTGACTCACACGATAACAGGATCTGAC